GCCCCCCAGAAACCACCTCATACTGTCCAGGCGCACGCACCACAACGTCACTTTTATTGAGTCGAGGTCCCTCCGCTTTCTGCACGTAGAAAATACATTTAAAAAGGCCGGTGTTTGTAAACAGTCAGGGGAGCGGTAAGGCAAACAGAGAAAGGGCCGCAGCACCTCCGTACCCCCCTGCTCTCACCCCCAGCGGGTGACAGCCGGAGCTGTGGGACACCACAGCTGCTCCGCTTCAGCCATGGGACCTCCTGGTGCCAGGCACACCTTCGGGAAAGCCAGAGCCACAAAAGCCACCAGGTACCAAACCCATCTCCATCTTGGGGAACAGGCACATCTCGGCGTTGGCATCTGCTAAGCCTCGAGCGTCCCGGTCCCTGCTGGGCTCCATGGGAGGTGGGTCTGGTCTCCCCCCGTCCAGGAGGTGCTGGGGTGGGCACACTCCTCTTTATGCCAAGGGGTCCCCCCGAATGCCAGCGCCAGCTTTCAGGCAGGAGCCAGGCGAAGGGGCTCGGAGGCAGCCAGTGCCAAATGGGGGGTTTGCTGGAGCCTGGCTTTGTCAAAAGTTGAGGGCACGGAGGTTGGAGGTACCTTGGGGGAGGCAGGAGAGACACATGGGTCCCTCCAACATTCACGCTATGCTTGAGGCTTCCTCCTCCATCTGGGTCTCCCTGCCTTGTCTGGAGGAGCATCCCCGATTACACGCAGCAAGCGTTTGTATGGAAAGATTAAACGTTTCCATGTGGGGAAGTGCCCACGTGGTGTCCTCCCACCCACCACCGCTGGTCACAGAGGGAGAGCGCCATGGAAGCGCACCACGGTTCACCTTCCCACCATGACAACCCGGGCTGCTTCCAGAAGACACAGGAGGAGCAAAGCCAGGTTTTGCACAAAGCTGGGCTGGATCCTCATCACAGATGCAGCAATAGATGCACACAAATTCCTCCCTCCCCTAGGGTTTTAGAAGCCAAACAAGGAATAAGGGAACTCAAAGACTGAACGAGAGCAGTTTGCTGTTGAGGTTTGACTCCCCCAACAAAATCTGAAGCTGGGGGAACTGCTCAACCCAGCAAAAGCAGAAATGAAACTATCATCCAGACAGAGAACGGAGGGACAGCCCAGAGCAACACCAGCCACAGAGAGTGTAAACGATGAAGGGAACAATATAAAACAGATTAATACTGACTGCTTTATCCCAAAAACATCCCTTAAAACCTACACTGGGCCTGGTCCCATTCCCTGGACACCTCCTGGAAGAACAGGATTGGAAATCTGGAGAAGAGCCTTGCTCTAGCATAGTGTCTCCAGGTCGATGCAGCCACAGCACCTTCTCTAGTGAGTGAGCAACCCCCGGCAGGGGAAACATTGCACCGGCGTGTCCCTACCCTGGGGTCATCCTGATCCTCCAAAAAAAAATTCAGGCTGAAGGTGACAGTCCCACTTCATAACAGAAAGTGCAGCTCAGACAGAGGGAGGTGTAGGAGTAAAGGCAGGAGACCGGCAAGAGGAGCTATGGGAAAACAGAGTTCAAACCAAACACCGACACAGAATAGGACTACGGGGATGTTGCCCTGTCCAATAAAACATGATTACTAGTTCCCTTTATGCAAAACACACTGTCTCCCTCCAATGTTGCAAGACAAAGGGGTTTAAGCTGTGGAGAGGAGCTCCACCAGCACAGGGGGACACGGGTGAGAGCAGCATGCCTTTGCAAACCCCAACTGCGACCCCTTAGTGATGTCTAAGGTAGTGATGTCTACCCCGGAGGGGCAGAAAGGGCTTGACCTGGACTACAGGTCCCCTTGTAGTGATGCTCTGGCTTCACCAGGGAGTCAGGGCTGAGAGGACAAGCCTGACTGCCTGGTGCGTTAAGACAAGATACGAATCACCGCAGGGCTCTTTCAGCCAAGATTACAACGCTCCTCTTGGATCTTCCCAACACGCCAACGTGTTTTCTCCTCCACTTCCCTTTGGTCCTAAGGGGAAAATGTGCATCCCCACAGCAGCAGCACGGTCCAGCCTGGAGGAGGAGTCAGGCTGTGAGATCCACAAAGATGGCGTTGGCAGTGGTCTGTCCAAAGATGAAGGCTCCGAGGGTGACCATGAACACCCCGTAGCTGACCTGGGCCCACCAGCTGTGGATACAGGAGGATGGAGCACATTTAGAGGGGACCTGCATGCCAACATCTGCAGGGGAAGCGGGGAGAGGGGAAGCACGTTTCCGTTACCTGATGGCCCTGGTTTCTTGAATCTCGGAGAGCTTGGCTTGAATCAGGCAGAGCCCTGAAAGGGAGAGGAGGCAAATTAAACCCAGACAAGGACTGAGCAGACACCCCACAAGCCATGGAGCTGCACTTCCCATTGCGGAACGGAGACTTCTGTCAACACAGTCGTCCTGCTGCCCGACCTCATGCCACACTTTCTTCCTTCTCCAAAGACCTCCTGGTTCCTGTGTCTCCATCCTGCTCCCTCACTCTTCGAGACACAAGGCTGAGAGACCTCTGCCGGCCCCCAAGTATCCCGGGATGCCCTACCTGGGAAGACGAAGATGAAGCAGGCGGCCAAGCCCCCGATGACAGAGATGACTTTGCCGATGTCGGGGATGAAGAGAGCCAGGAGGAGGGTCAGGAGGAACCAGCTGACGGTCTGAAGCAGGCGCCTCCTCCGCTCCCGAACCACGTCCTCCTCCACTGTCACCCCAGTGTAGCGGAGCCAGAGACCCTCCAAAACAGCCCTGTGGGGCGAAGACCCAGGGCAGGGGTGTTTCCCCATGCTGCCCCTCCTGCCCACACCAGCCCCTGCCTCCTCCCACTGCTCACCGGCCACAGAAGTGCAGGATGGGGTAGGACGTCAGCACACAGAGGATGATGAAGGCCCGGGCGAGGGCAACGGGGATGTCATTGGAGGGGTAGGACAGCAAGACATCCTGTTCCACACCAGCCCCAAAAGTCAGGAAACCGCAGACGCCTGCTGGGAAGGGAGCAGTCAGCAGGGGACGGGGACAAGCCTCCTGCAAGTGTGTTTGAGGGACCAGACTTGGATGGATACGGCGCAGGCCACGTCGCAGCAGGGGTCAGATGGACTCCCCTCCCTTCCCGCTCTGTTCCTCAGCTGGCCAGAGGGTCCCTGCCCTCCAGAAGCTCACAGCCCCTCCAAGGACCGCGCCACACTCACACGGCATCCCCTCGCTCACCAGTGCCGGTGTAGACGAAGAGAGCGATCACCATGGCCGCCGTCACCACCGCCCCCCAGGTCTTCACCTCCGGCTGCTTCATGCTGTTAAAGACGGGCACGCTGCTCACGTGGCACTGCCGGGGACACGGAGAGAGAGCGGGGACACGCGATGGGCTGAGCCGGAGTCACAGGGAGCCATGCGGGATCTCACGCGTGATATCCCCGGGTTTGTCGTGATACCGTGATCCCCCAGGTTTAACACTGGAGAAGAAAAGGGGGGGGACAGGCTGCCCTGGACTTCCCAGCTGGGATAAAATTGATCAGTCTCCATCCAGGGGTTGTGAGATGTTAAATTGGCTTCAGCTCCCTTGCAAAGGTGAGCACACGGGGAGGGTTTTGACTGAACACCCAGGGTCCACCCCCCGCCCAGGCAGCTGCAGGGTGAGAAGGGGAGCGCCGGGCTCGTGGCCTTACCTGGAACCCAAAGCAGATGGTGGGCATGGCATTGAAGACAGCTGTCCAGGTGGAGGGGCTGGTGGGAGAGAAACACCCACCGGTCAGACCAAGTATCGGTAAAAAAAATAAGGATCTACTTGGGCAGTGCCGAAAACTGGTCTAAATTTTGCTCTGCCCTAAAATTTCCACTTCCCCGCACTGGGTCCAGAAAGGTCCCCACACCACGAGGAGGGGACAGGCCACAAGGGCTGTGCTGGCCAAAGAAAACACCAAAATCATCCTAAAATTGACACAGCTGTTGTTGCTCTTGCTGGGTGAGCACAAGCACTGCACAGGGAACTCTGGGCCCGGCTGTATCGGAGCCTAAAAGTCAACCGGTGCTCCTCAAGACCTGCGATGGAGCTGTGGGGACCTCCAAGAAGTCTTTTTCCTCTCCTTCACCACCAATTACGCAGAGATGCAGCCACTCAGGAGCTTGTGGCAGTTACACGCAGTGTCCCCAGGCCCAGGGATGGGACTCGTGAAGGATTTGTCCCCAGCCTTTGCAGCCCTCGCTCCCGCAGCCCTGCCTGGCTCTGTGATGTGACGGCCACCGTCAGCATCCAGTCTCTGGCACTCACCTGGTGGGGATCTCCACAGGCGTGAGCTCCTTGTCAGGCCAGATGTACTTTATGATAATGACTGCCGTGACGTACCAGGTGCCAATGACGCTTAGGGAGCTGCAAGAGGGGACAGGAGACGGTCAGCATGCTGCCTCCCCGCTCTGCGGAGGGTCTCCCCCCAGCCTCATCTTCCTCGCTGCACAGCCTGCACTGGCTCTCCTTTCTGCTGGATGGCCAACTCCAAAGACAGGGCACGGCACAGTTGAAAGCAGCTCTTCCTGCTTCCTCCGGCAAGCAGAAGGGAAGGACACAAGCCCCAGAGTACAACACTGTGGCCGCACGGTGCTCAGCAGCTCCTCTGCTTCCCGGATGGGGAATAAGAGGCACGGGAAGGCGGAGAAGGAGATGGCCGATTGCTCAGGGGTGAGCGGGCAGATACAGCGCTACAACCACAGCGTTTCCACTCCTCGTCCCCTGGGACTATGCTTACTTGTGGTCCACCCAGCTCCCAGCCCCGGAGGGCTCTCCTCACCCACCTGGCGTATTTTTGGAAGCCGATCTCCTTGGGGATGGAGAGGGGCAGGATGAGGAGGAAGGCAGTGATGCTGATGGTGAACTTGCGATCTGTGTACCAGTGGCTGCTCCCAGCTTCCTCAGGCTCCGTCACCAGAGCAGCAATGACTGTAGGGACAACCGGGGCGGTCAGGTCATCCCTTTCCAGCTGAAGGGACAGCAACTGGTTATTTTTTCTGTCCCCTGCGGGACACACTTACTCTTGTCCTCCTGGTCTCCGATGATAATGAGGAACGCGATGCAGGTGCCGAAGGTGTAGACGGCGATGGCCACCTCGCACAGCACGCCAGGCACCTTCCCGCAGACGGCCCACACAACCTCCTGGTAGGTCCGCTCGTTGCTGGCCTGCGAGCAGTACGCCAGGATGACCAAGCCTCCGATGATGAAGATCAGCATGCACTGGGGTGGGGAAGAGACAGGGAGGGGACACTGAGGCAACAGTGTGATGAGGTCCCCAAAGCCACCCTGGGCAGCCGCTTATGAACACACGGAGGCTTCCTCCCATG